TAAAAATTAATGAATTCATACCTTTTTATTAGTATTAGTGCGAAACTGAAGGCAACAAACTAGATTGGAATTTTATCTCTGCTCACAGATTTCTCTATCTGCGCTGATAACAGTTATGCTACCGGTACATCTTCAAATATATTATTATCTTTAGAATCGTTAGTTATTATCTTTCTTTTTTTATTATTATTGTGTGCCACCCGGCGATTTTTATCAAATCTCAAATGGAGCTGCCCAATCTTCACTTTCCAGCCTTGATAAAATCCAAAGTCGTTTACGCAGACTTTTTGTGGATGACGACATATTTTACACCCGACAGCCCCTTTCCCACAGACGAGGCATCGCAAGCCTGTCACTATTCTATCCCTATTTCTATTGAAAATGTTCAGATGAGCTCCATTCTTTAGTACCACCATTTCAGACCTTTACAACTAAGACCTGCTATCTCCGTCTACAGAGTCGAATCATCCTTACTACTTATATATTTGAAGGAAATTTCACTTTCAGCTTTTGCCCTAATAAACCGCTGCTTTGTGGAACGGACTCCCGTGTGGACACTTCCCTGAACGGTATAATCTTAACTTCTTCAATCCAAGAGTTAATTATTATCCTATCTCTATATCCACATAATCCTTACTTAGTTCCTACTTATACATTCATATCATACACCTCATTCATTAATATTTATACATTGAGTAGATCTTGAGCTTTGTCGTGGCTGATCATACGTAAAATAAAAAGAAACAAACAGTAGCCGTTAATCTGACTTTTTCCCTGTCAAATATTCTGTTTAAAAGATCGGCTAACATGTAGAAATTTAGAAAAACCTCGAAAAAAATAAATAGGGGGCTGAGAGAGAGAGAGAGAGATGTCTTTTTCTACTCCCTATGTTCAATATAGGCATTATAGTCATAATATACTAACACCTTAACGAGACGGAACGAAAGACTAGAACACTTTAAAAATAAACTCTAAAAAAGGAAATAAAAATGAAAAAAAAATATATGCAAAACCTGAGTATACATATGTAAGTCATACTAAACCTGCAGTACACACACACACAACAACAACAAATTGTCCCACTCTGCGAAATTTAACCACATATAAAGAGGCAAGCATATGGAGGGATGAATAAAAAGATGTCTTTATTTGTAACATTCCCAAGGGAGACACGATACATCCCTCTTTCTTATATTTTCCGTTCCTTTTTTAGAACCGGTCAGGCTTACGGGGGACGCTATCGAGCAACTGTCTACTATCGCCAAAGGGCTGTCACGTGAATCTCAAGGGCTCCTTAAGACATACGTAATTCCATCCCGTCAAAAGGGAGATAATCGCTTCCTGTATCTCTAGACAGGTATATGCTTTTAGGTTTACATTATAATGATGGCTCCCTCGAAACAATTTTTAAAAATCCAGAACAGTGATGTTTAGTTTAAATGTATATACTTCCATACTTATATTTTAATATTAAGGATGTTCGTGATTAAAAGATTATTTACTTACTAGTTGTACACGTGAAAATTTCCCGGCTTTGTTATTTGAATTTGTTGGTGAATCATAATTCTTAACTTGATCATTAAATAAGCTCCTTGCTAGTTCTGCGACTATAAAATACCCATGGAATTTCCCCTATTGCTTCGTTACATATTTTAGATTAACATCTTTAACAAAATATTGCAATAACAATCATCAGTATGAATGCAGGTTATCATTAAAAGAAGAGGATACAAACGAAAAGATCTCAAGTTTTTTTTTTCTATTACACTAAAGAAAGCTTTAAACAGGAGCGCGCTATCGCTGCTTCTTTCTTTTTCTCACTGGAACCGAACAGCGTGCCTGATATGTCTTTTCTGACTTTCCTCGTGATCAAAACGGAATAGTCCATTATTTATGAGGTATTGACATGACATTTCTTTCTTTCTCACTGAAATCAAATAGTTTCTGGTGTGTCTCTCACCACGCGGTCAAAATGGAATAGTCCATTATTTATGACGCATTGACAGAACGTAACGTATATGCTGACTAAGGAACTAAGAAACAACCAGAAATATAATGATTTTTAGTTCCGAGCGTTCCTCCAGAGCAATGGCTGAATCAATTATGTTGGGAATTTCGAAGGCGTTCTTTCAGTTTCTCAGAACATAGCAAACTAAATGTTAAAATCGATTGCAAACGCTGTACTTATACAAACCAAATTATGATGTTTTTGTTTTTTTTTCAGGCAAAACTTTGCTGTTAGCTTTAAGTTCTGGACGCCGTTATCTACTTTTAACGATTAAAAAAAAATGTATATGAGGTCATAATAAATTTGAAAGAGATATTAATTCCTTATTACAGGGAATGATTAATCCTGTTTGATCACCAGAGTGCCTATCTTCTCCATTTTTGTTCAACCATTTGAAAATTCTAGTTAGTGAGTGTAAAACAAAAATTAAAACTATGATATATTATTTGATGAAGTTCGACGATAAAAATTCAGTATGAAGTTTTAAAGTAAAAAGGAATCTGCGAAGTATGTATAACTCCTCACGATATTGAATTTGACATTCAAGACGGAGAAGCACAGTCGTTGAAATCGGCGTAGATATGTGGCTGTAAATATGAATAAAAATCTTTCTAATGAGTTAAAACAACTAACGAAATCGGGACGAATTATTGATTTGTAACTTTTGTAGCTCATTGTTTATAATATATCGATTGCTTCTGCATTACTGCTTAAACTCTTTGACATTTTCATTTTTCTCTTGTCTTTAATGATCAATCAAAAAATGGCAGTTTCTAATTTACTTCTTGGCTTTAAAAAAAAAACGAGTGGTCTGTATTTGTGCTCAGTGTTAATAAAATGGCATTGCAGATTTTGGAAGTATAGAAATTGATTTGTGACACATCATGAAGAATTTAATAAATACGAACAGACACAATGCTGGAGTAATCTTGATTTTTCTATGTGCCGTATCTCTTCGGGACGCTGGTGATCATGGCTCTCCACAATTCCCTGTCTATTGTGGCTTTTAATAAATGTTGTATATTTGTTATCTCTTCTAAACCTTGTTCCGCCATCGATTTACTCAAGCTTGCTCGGTAGATTATGCGTTGTTTTCCTCTCCTCTCTTGCCTACAATCTGTCCTTTCAGTGCCAAATTTTCCAAGCCCTCTTTCCTCATTATGTACATTAGAAATTTAAGTTAAGTGTCCATTTTGTTTCGATTTTCTTTAAACTTCGTTGCTCCCATGAAACACGAAATGAAATCACCGCTTTTTAATAACATAACTTTTCATGATATAAATTCACAATTTTCATTTCGTGTTTTTCTTTTACAATTTCAAAACTCGTTATTGAAGTTGAAATAACAGAATAATTTATAATTCCAGTCTATGTTAGCCTTTTAACTTACGAGCGCGAGACTGAATCTTGATCAATTAAATAAAACAAATTTGCATTTGTATTTGAAAATAATGAAGCACAGAAGATCAAATTATTGTATATAAACAGATATTAAAAGAACTAATAAAATGGTTATAATAAAAATAACGTGAGTCAGATAGAAGAAAAAAAAAACACATACACCACCATAGATATATTTTTCGAAACATTAAAAAACAAATTTTATGATAGATAAGTAATCACCCCGCAAATTGTTCAAACTAAAATTCTTATCTTTGTTGATCCAATTATCAGACATATTCATTTTTCGGAAAACGTTTCTACTAATGCAAGAAAAAACGCTGCATGCAGGAATTTTTGACAACCGGATCCGGAACTATCAACAAGACGTAATTCCTCTCTTCTTACTCTTTCATGATTTATACAATCAATTGAAGAAATTCGGAGAATACATCAGCCAAAATGTAGTGACAGATTCAAAAAGGATAAAAACTGATAGCTCATGGAATGATGAATTTCATAAAACTTCGACTAAAATTTAGTCATATCGTATGTAGCTTAAAACAGAATGGAATTGAATTTAGTAATACTAGATTAGAGAAACTGTAATCTAATATTTCGTTAAATGTTTGGCAATTGATATATCGAAATGAGAGTTAATCTTTTTATACCTATGGAGCCTAAAAAGTTAGAAAACAGCCGTGTTTCGAATATTTAAAACGCAAGACAAGTCAGACTGAGATTTTGAATGCCTGTTTTGAAAGTTCCGAACATAGGTGAATCATGCTGGTCAGGCGTTAAATCATCACTGCAGTGATTCACCCTGTCCAATGTACGGGATGCCATGCAAGTTAGTATGATTAATACAAAGATGACATGACAAACAGATCAACGAAAAGAAATGTAAATTTTGACTCTCAGTAAAGTTCTTTATTCATGGAAGTCCAGCAACGGCAGCTGTAATCGATTAGCTTAGACAAAGTAACTCTGTTTTGGAAAGTGTTTTTAAAGCGGCATTTCAGCAGTAAGCCAATTTTCTACTTTTCTGATTGGTGATAGCATGATTTAATAGCATCATAATAACGCTTCTATGGCATCGGAGAATATGATGACAGATCGTTTTTGCGCATCGTATATTCGACCAATTAGTATGCGTGTTGTCAATACAGACAATGGAATCTGCAGGACGAACTCAAATTCCAACAGAGGTTCTTGCATAGTAATGCTCTTCGAAAAGTCATAAATCCATCTCGTCTCTCTATAGCGATGGATAAAACAGGCGAGTCATTTATCGTAGCGTTTTACAATTTATAAATCTTAAAAGTTTATTGTGGAGAGCCATGATCGGACACGTACTGAAGAAACATGGTTTAAAACAATATCAACCAAGTAGGTTTTCCATTGAATTTAAATTTACAGATTTAGTACAGGATTGATTGATTTTTAGTGATACCAGTTTTACTAATTAACCCAGAACTGGAGGCAGATGATTTGGATTCATACTTCTCCAAAGGGTATTTGCGCGTAAGTGAATATAACGAACATAACGGGAATTAGAACTCGGTTCTCGGATTAACAATTCCGAGCTATTATCCATTACACTACCCGCAAGCTTACAGTATCTGGTATTCCCAAGCAGTCACCCATCTAGGTACTGACTAGACTCGACGTTGCTTAACTTTGATGATCGTACGGGAACCGATGTTTTAACGTTATTGTATATAGTACAGGAATTAAAGTCGATATGTCTCTTCCATCTTAGAGACTAAAAGTACTCGTGAAAATTTCACGATTTTGTTATTTGAATTTTCTGATGAATCATAATTCTTAAGTTAATGATTGAATAAGTTCCTTGAGAGTTCTGCGACGATAAAATACCCTTGGAAATTCTTTATTGCATCGTTAAATATTTCATCTTAACAGCTTCAACCAAATATTGCAATAACAATCGCAAGTAGGGATGGAGGCCATTATTTAAAGAGGTATGAGGGTAGAAATAAAAAGATTTAAAATTGACAAGTTTTTCTATTTCACTGAAACATACGTTAAATACATGAGTGTTATTGGCTCTTCTATCTTCCCTCCCTCCTTTCTGGGAGCGTTATCGCCTCCTGTCTTTCTATCTTATTCTTACTGAAACCAAACAGCGTGTCTGATCTATCTTCGCAATAGTTTATTATGAGGTATTTTGCCAGGGCGAAACGTACGTGCTAACTAACAAGCAGAATTATAATATGACTAGAAATACCCATGAAAATTTCACGGTTTACCTATTTTAATTTTATGGTGAATCTTAATTCTTAAGTTAATGATTGAGTAAGCTCATGCTGAGTTCTACGACAATAAAATATCCGTAGACACTCCTTCTATCGCATTGGTAAATATTTGAGCTTGACAGCTTTAACAAAATATTTCAATAACAATCCTAAATATGAATGCTGGTCGTTATTTAAAATAGTAAGGAGGTAGAAATGAATATTACTGAAATAAAATGCTATCGAATTTTCTATCTTCTCTTTCTTTCATTTTCTCAATGAAATCAAATAGCATCACTGATGTGTCTTTTCCGTATTTCCATGCGATCAAAATGGAATCGTTCGTTATTTATGAGATACTGGCAGGGTGTAACATACGTACGTGCTTAACTAAGAGAGGGACAAGCAGGGATTTAATCTGGCATAAGGCCAGAATATTATGGATGGCAACCAAAGGGGATCGAACGTATTACAGTAAAAATGGTGACTTAATTCCAAAACATCATCTCTGGGTAAAAATTTTAAATGCCAATGATTGTTTTTAAATTCCTATGAGATATATTACTCTTGATTCTGTCAACTTTTTTTCGCCGGTTCGGCTTTATGAAAAGTAATGCCAGCGAGCAGATCCGGCCTGAAGATAATTCATTTCTAATTCTGCTCAATAGCCGCGAACAGTCTATGTATTCAAAGTGCAATTACGAAAATTTACTTGACTGTAATTGTTAGCCTATAAAACCTTGTTTTGTTAAGGCATTATCTTCCTTTTTTTTTTCTTTTTTTTTTTTTTTCATTTCTTTGGATTATTGGTCACTGCGACATATCCTAAAAATTTAGTAATATAGGCTCCAGTCTCTTATCTCTATAATCGCATTGAACGTAGTGCAATATTTGAATATTTTTATTGAGTGACTGTGCGAGAGGGGGAGGGAGGTTGTGGGAGGTGAATAAGTGCAAACACTGTAATCTGCAGAAGGCGGGAATTTCCATCACTTCATTTGTATGGCGTAGCTGTCGATAATGGAAATATTTGCTGACATTCGTTCAGTAATACTTTTTAAAGTCTACCGTTCATTTAGCAAGAGTTACCTTTTAACTTCAATCCACAATAAATTTATAGATTTAGCATCGTTAAATTTGGTTACAATTTGAGTAAATGGCGGCTGGTCAAGTGTCATGTTGAATAGATAAAAGTAGCTTTTAATGTTTTTTTGTTTTTGTTTTTTTTTACAATGATGTTCACTCTGTACACGGCTCAAGAGCCACTAGAGGTAGAGGATTACAGAGTGAGAGGCACTGATGGGGATATGTGGTGAAGATAACGGTTGTCCCTAGACTTGCATAAATTATGGTTATAGTGATCGAGGAAGCATCTTCTTGGGAGTCGGTATCACAACGTAACGGGTCCTAGGAAGAAGCTGCTCGAGTGGAACTTGCATCGCACCACTAGAATACGAACGGAATAAGGTTGGTTCGCTACAATGTGCGTAGTACGGCGGGTCTTGGCCGTTCAGGTTAGAACTGGTGGAACTAGGGAGTGTAGTTCGACTGTACACTTTTCATGGAAATAGTGATAGAGCTGAGAGATACTTGCTACGTTTTGTCTGTGAGAAAAGGAGTGCAGGATGGAAAATTCGTCACCCACAAGGACGAGGAGACGTTTTTGGGGTCTATCTGGAAAGTGAAGAGCGGCAGCTTCTCTCCATATATGGCAGCAGTACTTCATTTTCGACTTGATCTAGCCCTTCTAAAGGTAGAGGATAGCAGGAGAAGTCAGGTACTTACTGGAGTGGTACAGGGAGCCGACCTTTTTTTTTTCTTTTTTTTTTTTTTTTTCAGCATTTCTAGCAATGGATCAGATGTACAAGTTCCACTTGAGCTTTTGGTTGAGTTTAAGTCCCAATAGGCGCTCAAGGCACGGAGCCTCCCCGTGCGAACACCTATTCATCGTGATCGGTGAATGTTTTCGGTCTGTTCGTTGATGATGAAACGTCAGTTGTTTGATTTTCCAGGTCTTGAATGTAACCGACCAGTTTTTACATCGCTGAGCTGTTAGAGCTTGGTCAAATGAGATATCAGCTGCCAAGCTCTGGTCATCTATTAAATATTGTATCATCAGCATAGATATTCACAAATGATCGCAGATTATTTATATAAAATAGAAAGAGGGTTGAAATGAACTTTGAAAGACGTACTCATTTTTGTATAAATACCATCGCTTCACACCAACCTCTCGGCTCTGGGTTACACAGAAGAACAGACTTAGCCTCAGAAGAATATAACTGAATCCGAAACCATTTGCGTGTAGGGCTGGCAACCTCACATCATAAAAAGCCTACTTACTATGGAAACCACAGCAGCAACACTGTAGTATTTATTTTCTTTAATAAAAAAAAAAAGAAAGAAAAATGTGTATAAAAGCATTCTGTATGTGCACAAGTTTCCAGCGAAAAAGCACTTGTCAGCTCTGTATTTAGTCTCCAGTTTTTAAAAGATAGCACAGAACTTTTGCGCATGAACGTAATTGTTGTTTTGAATAAAGGTACATAGTACATTGAATAACACTGTAATACTTGTACACAAGCTGATGTTTAGTATTCACATGAACCTTCCCAGCATAAGATGCATATACAGCACTTTTAGAAAGTAGATATATTATTTAACAACTTGTTTAGTCCATAACAATGCGAAAGAATTGTCTTCATACCAGTTTCTAAAGATTCATTTTCTTGTTCTACTTTGCTTTTTCACAAAGTTAGTCTTTTCACCTTCTGACTTCGTATATATGTTCGAAGAGTCCACACACATATCGCACTCTCTCTCTCATATATATATATATATATATATATATATATATATATGGTGGGGAGGGTATTTAGGCAGCAAATGTTCTTTAAGACAACGGACGTTTTGTCACGATTAATTTTATTAATCGACATTTCTGAATTATGAATAACCCTTCTCAGATAAAGAGGTAATTCCGTCAGAAATTGCCCAAAGTTCATTTTGGAAGAAATATGGTTCAAGCTTTCGAATTTCTTAATCAATCATCAGGGTACGTAGAGACAAATGGTGAGTTGGATAGAACTGGATAAAATGTTGTGACGTAGGCTTAATCAATCTTGAAATTTACTGAGCTGATTTAATATCCTGTAAATTTGGGGAAACTAAAGCGTTAGCAAATTAAGATTAGTAAACGTATTTCGAAAATAGACAGAAAAAGAAAGCTGAACACGCACACAAATACATTTTTGTGTTCTTTTGGATGCTGGTAGTAGGCACGGTGGAGTAATGCATAGCGACTCGGATTGAGGAATCGGAACGTCGTGTTCATTATATTTACTTACGTGATAATACCGTTGGGAAAGGTATGAATTTATCTCCCCACACAGCTACCAGTAAATAGCAGGACAGATTGGGCCTTATAGCCTTGGTTTGTAACCAGTCTAGGAGAAGGAAAACTATAAATTCAAACCCGCTTGGAGAGGGTTGGGCTCAGTCGAGTTGCCTTGCCAATGAAACACTACTACCACTATGGTGTGGATGCGTTGCCACTACGACCTGTTATACTTCATCGCAATTAGATCTCATTCTGATTCATTCTGCACGCTGAACGGATGTGAACGCCACGAAGGCAGTAAGCGAAATAACAAAAGTCACATTGAGCTCCATCCACCACATCCAGTCTACGAAGTGAGATCCAGCGGTGGCCAATCGTGAACGTTCCCGCCGGTAAAAGAGACTCCCCTTGTGGCTACCAGACCCACTTAAAAGTAAGCTCTGAGAACGCCTAGGACACTGTTGCAGTCCGGTGCGGATTAACTAGGTATAGGATAGTTAGTTAAGACCATCCTCAACCCCTCCCCTTTTTCGGCCTTGTGCCATAATTGTGTTTTTAAAATGCAATAAATATTCTGTTGCAGCCCGGCGTGTCTGCCGGCCGTCACGCAGGACGCAGCTGCTGCTGCCATCACCGCCACTATCGCCGCCACCACTCAATATGACCGCACATCTTACCCAGCGAAGCTATCCAGCTTCAACTTGAAACAGCTCAACCTTGATACAAGCCTTCATTGATCCCAGCACCCGCAGTCACCTCGACCTACCTTGACTCGTTTACAAGACCTTCACGTCACAGTCGACCCCTGTGACAACCGCTCCATAGAATAGGCCTGCCTCGACTCATTTACAAGGCATTCTCTTTATAGTCGACACCAGCGACCTTCGTTCACACAACACCCAACAGAAAAGAGAATATCAACACCCACCGTGATCTCGGGGTACCTCGACTAGTTTTCAAGGCATTCCCTTCACAGTCGACATCAACGGTCTCCGTTCTACAGAACAAAGCTACCAAGACTACGCCAATCCGACGTCACTCTGTTTCAACACAACAGGTCAATCAACCGACAAGACCACGTACAGCCGTGACTTCTATCAACCAAACGTGCACCGAC